CGTATGGTGGACCCGCATCCTCACGACCTGCCAACTTGCGTTTCTTTGCCTTCTTCTCAGCATCCGCCACAGATTTATCGATTCGTTGCTTAACGTTGCGCTTCTTCGGATCATAGACACGTTTCTCACAGCAACTGCAACATGTACGCTTACACCAGCGACCCCAACTGCCGAATTCAACTCGAAGAAATTCATAAAAGCCCAGCTCACTCGCCTCCTCATCGTCTGGCGTATTTTTGTTCTCCGCAAAGTAGTCACAAATCAGCGTAATGAAAAGATTCAGCAAAACAATGGCAATTACAAACATTAGCAGCGCATACAAAATGAAACCGAGCGTCAAACCGCCATAGGTTAGATCGTAGGGACTAACGGTGCTGCTGAAGCCAAATGAGTAGCTCATCGAGGCGGCGAAACTTCTGAATAAGTGCGTAAAGTGTTCGCTGTCATTGCCATTGATTATGTACGAGCTGATGCCAAAAGCGATTAGCCATATAACGATGATCACCAGCAGCGTGAGTAGCGCAAAGCGGGCGCGATAAAGCGTGCGTGTGAAGACACGAAAAGGTTTGGCGAACTGAAAAATCTTCCACAGCCGCAAGGTGGTCAAGCAAATGAGGAAACCAATCATCAGATTGGCTAGATAGTCGATTTGTGCTGGCACGCGAAAATCCACAAACTCCAGCTTCATCGAGTCCTCGAAGCGCGCCATTAACGCTGCCACCTTAGCCTCGCGTACAATAATCAAAATCAGGATGAACAAATTCAAACCAATTATCACAAAGTCCACAGCATTCCAGGGCGACGAGGACATTTTTGTTTTGTAGAGCATATTCAACACCAAATGTTTGGCGAAGTATATCAAAGTGAGGAGGTACAACAGGAATACGAGCAACATTATGCCCGGCACATTATCCAAATTCATCAGCAACTCAACACTTTGCACATCGACATGTGACAGCACATTTCCGAAGGGTGTATACTCCAGCAGAATCGTGCAGACGCTAAAGATATTCGAGTCGACATTGTAGAGCGTAAAATCGATAAAGACACCTGCAGTGCGCGCGTCAATCCAGTTCGATGCTTTCAGATATTCCAATATTTTCAGGCTATTGTTCAAGTCGCGCGACAAAAAAGTCACATAACCGTTATTCTCCGCATACGTATGCAAATTGCCGTAATGATGACGCGGCGTAAATATATTCCAATCCACTTGTCCCTCCAACCACGGTCCATAAGTGTGTATATACTTGCTGATGTAGTGCAGCTGTTCGTATGGCAAACGCCAACGTGGCATAAAATTTCGCTCATCGAAGCTAGGCGTATCTAGACCAATATGCTCATCCAAGCGCCGCACTTGTCTCAGCCGCACGACGCCCAACAGCTTAGCTATATTATATTGTATCCAGCCGGGTTCTTCTATAACCTCGTCATTGTAGTCGCGACCCCGATTGAAAGCTTTTACCACAATGCGTCTTATATAATCGTAGACATCATTCGGCGTGTGCACATAATACAGTCCGGCAGCATCTAAACGCTTTTCCAGGAAAACCGTTTGAAGCGTGTGTGTATTGTAGTAGGTAAGGTAATCGCGCGAGCCGACCACCAAAAGCATTAGCAGCAGAAAATAAAGTCCGTAGAGCCGCAATTCATTGATGATCAGTTTGTATTTGAGATTGAGCGACTCATTGTAGTGCGCTGAGGTAGCGTGCATGGCTGCTTCGTGGCTAGCTAGCTGCAGACGCACCAGCGCGTCTTCATCGTAGTTGTTAGTGGCTGCGGAGCGTCCCACATCCGGTCCTTCCTGTATGGCTGGTTTCTTGCGCAATGCGGCATAACAGGCGTATCCAAGAAATTTGATGAAATCGCCAATGAGGCAATGGAAAAATAACACGACGACAATGACGAAGAGTAGCGCCCTAAATTTGCGTGACTCGTGCAGGAAGCCGGACAGGCAGATGATCAAGATTAGGCAGATGAAAACAATTAAGTTGCATACCCCGAAGAGAATAAGTGTCTTGCGACGCGACTTCATAACGCTTGTATTGTGTGATTTGTAGAAAATCTTAGGTGAAAAATATTTTTTCTGTTGATGCGAATCACAAATTTTTCACAATAAAAACCAAACATATGGAACTCGTTGACTTTGAAATGGAACAAGGTTAAGTACTTTCATAAAACTTGTTCACAGTGATGTACTTATGCACAATACAGGTTTGTGCTAAAAAGAGTTAAAAACTCATATTCTTCAGAGAGGTATATTTCTTGGGACATACAGGCTAACTCCTTCACCACGGGAATATCCACAAGGAGAACCAAAGCATTCCTTCAGCTTAGTAGTCATAAAGTAAGAACTGTTACAAGTTTTCTTACTGGCCCCTACAAGGTAAAGGAAACACTTGTCAAAGATAGGAGTTGTTAATCCTCACCAGTATGGATTGAATCTTGGGCAAACAAAAAAATAAGCACCGAAAAACTGGAAAACTTTCTAGTATGCTTTTTACTCATGTTTCTTCCCTTTCAATATAAAAATATTCCTTATGCCCCTATCTGTATGTATCAATGACGACGAGCAGGAGATTTTAGTTTGTGTGAATCCGTATAAAATCTTTAATACTTATACCGCTGATGCGTTTTGATTGTGACTGATCTATGTATAAATTGAGCAAAGACCACTATAGAGAGCTTCAGAAAGCTTTAAAAAGCTTCTCTCACGGTAAAAATTTCGGTAACTATATTAGCTACCGGTCCAGTGAGAGCATTACGAGCATTTTAATGACATGTACATAGTTAAGCGCATAAAAATACATGGATTGCCCTAGCTTGGCCTAGGGCCTGGTGAAAAGACTCCCGACCCAACGCCCGTGGGTGGACAATGAAAGAAAGCGCACCTACGAACACAATGGATGGACCAAGTGTATAAGGACCTGTCGGCACTCGGGGATGTACAAGGACGAACGGTTGTAGAGCCAAAAAGGAGAATGAAAGAAGTGAGAACTTTTACCCTGAACGCGCTCATATAAAATCGGCTGAAAACTCAAGCTCTCCCGCATCGTGTGTTTTTTTACTCATCCAAATTTTGTGCGTATGAAATATATATAAAGCTTTAAAAAGCTCCATTGGCCGAATACGTTTTAATCGTGATTTATGTACATAAAGAGCAGATACCACCAGAGAGAGCTTCAGAAGGCTTTAAAAGCTCCTTCCGCGTGATGTGTTTGGTAGTGTCGGATTTATATGAAGAGCAAATACCATAAAGCTTTAAAACACTTTAAAAATTTCGCACCCGGGGTAGTATTTTGGTTGTTACTATTCCAAATGGAGCAGTAACCGGCAAATAGAGTTGTTACCCTAAGGGCCGTTTCCACCACTGCCTGCTAAAAAATTTATCGACCCGTTATCGATTGCCCGTTTTAAGTATGTGAGCGACAAATTTTACAGGCAGTCTAGAAAACAGCCCTAAGCATGTCTACACAAAATGTATGCAGAGCTTTAGAAAACTTTGCACGCAGACAACGCGCTGCTTATCATCGTTTTATTGCCAATTTGCCAACGAATTATGGGCGTTTGAATGCAATTGGGATGAAAACTTTTAATATTTCCGAACAAATTAAAAAAATGTTGATGTACAATTCACACGCTACCCTATTATTTTGCACGCTACTGTATTATAAAAGGTACATATCGTCACCTGAAATGCAAAAAGACGTAAAAAAACATCGTCGCTGAAATACAAAAAGTGGTAACTAATAAAAAATTCAAAATTCAGTTTTTGATTGATATCTTTGATGGATTTAATCGAATTACAACTCCCACAACATATGAAGAAAATAAAAAATATGAGTCACGACTTTTTCCATTTCAGTTACGATGTTGTTACGTCTTTTTGCATTTAAGGTGACGATATGTAATTATGTATGTACATATGTATATGAGCAACTACCCTGCGGGAAATGCATCTAACTATAAATTAACTTTAAGTTGATTAGGAAGCAACTAAAGACCACTATTATTTCTATATTTCCTTTGAGGAAAGCTAACTATATTTGTATTGGCGATGGCCGCGAAATAGTCAAGGGTGGTTACCTCTGCATTTGATGTAACTAACTTGTAACTAACTGCTTTTGGACATAAAATATCAATAGCAAAAACAAAACATTTTTGATTTTTTTACTTTTTATTTATTTACTCTATTTTATTACATTTCATACATGTTTACATATTCTGCTGTAGGTGGTCCCATATTCGAACTCCGTCAGAGATAACTTCAAAATAATAAATTTGAAATTTCGATCTACCTTTTATTTGTCCTCAATTCGAAAAGGTATTTGTGAAGCGCAGGATATTTAAATAGAAACGCATTTAAAGAAAATAATCTCCCGATTGCGTCTGCATTACTCCTGCATTACTTTTCAACTACTTTCAAGTTAGATTTTTATAGCTAACTACAAGTTATATATTTTATAGAAATCCCGCAAACAAGCTAACCGCAAGTTGGTTACTTTTTATCAATTGATATTTTTTTTCTGCAGGGTAATTTTTCGCAAGATTCAAAATGAAGCTGAGCACGCTTTGCTTGTTTCAGTAGCTTTCGCAAACTCAACTTTGATAGAACTAGTGCCAAGCGTTTTGCGGCTTCAAAAGCCAGCGCGTAAGAAAATTAATTAAACAATTAATAAAGAAAATAAAATTGCGTACGAGTATACATATTTGTACAAACATACTTTATATGTATGCGTATGAACGTAGTACGTATATTTTCATAAAGAAATAGTGTTTGTTTTTTTGTTGTTTGGCTGTATTCGCTTTGCTAATCATACGCCGCCCGATGACTTCAACATCCAGTACACTAATAAATATTTCTTTGATATCATTATTGGCGGTGTTTAGCAATCGTTTGGGTGAGTGCGGAATATTTGCTTTGAACCTTCCCGAAAATCGTACTGGTTTAAATTGGTTTATTTGGTGCTTTCCCCGAAAGTATTAAATGACAGCTGGGTTTTTTATTGTTTTTTTTTTGTCTTTACGCGCATCTTGTGTTATTATTAGCTTCTTTCTGCTCTCAAAGTAGTGCTTTAGAGTAATTAAAAAAATTTAAGCTCTTAACTGGTTTTTTAGTAAAAAAAAAAGAGCGTGAGAAAGGGAGTTGAAAAGATAACAGAGAGAGAGAGAGAGAGAGATAAGAAAAATCACTGAGCGCGGCGTTCATAAATATAAATATTTGTAAACAAAAATTAATGTATGCCTAAATAATTACATGTGCACAAATACATATTTAATTTTTTTTCCACAAAACTTTTTTTTAGTCCTTCTTAATCAATCAAAATGTCGATGTTTGCACTTTGTTATCGGCATGCGGAGGTCAAATCGGCAAATTTCCCGCCCAATTCAATAACCACATTGAGAAATCAGTAAATACTAATCTGATTTAGGTTTCCAATGAAATTGAGTGCTTTAAAAGTAATTTAAGAGAGATTAAAAAATTTTGAAGTCCCATTATTTTTTCTACGAAATCTTATTTTCACTTTATTGGATTTTCTTCTTTTTATGAACAAAAATACGTGCCGCAACCGTCATACAATGTCTCTTTGAGTTCTTCGCTGTTTTGAAAAAGATTACTTAATTTTGATTTAAAAACCAACATACGTATGTTCATATGTACATAGTTAGTCTGTTCCAATAGCAGTCCGGTTTACAGGATTTAGTCAGAACTTACAGGAAGTCGTTCCTATTGACATAAAACCTGTAAGTGGGAACACATTTGAGAGAGTAACTTAGCAACTGTTCCTAGTCAGAAGTTACCGGAATTAGTCCGGAGTTTTTTTTCCTGTAAGTTCATGAAAAGTGTCAAACGATCAGCTGATTTGCATGTGCAAGCAAAAACAAACAGCGATGAAAGCGAAGTACCTTAAATTTGTAAAAAAATGGAATTAAACAACGAAATGTTTGAATATGTATAGATTTTAATAATTATTTAGTGATATTTCAGCTAAATCAGTGTTGTACAAATGACAGGTAAACAAACCGACTGACGTTTTTACAGGAAATAGTGCTTTTTGCGTTCCTATGCACTTCTGCATCTGTTCTCCTTTTACTCTCATTTGAGAGAGTAAAATTGTAGTTTGACAGTTCCACAGGTTTTAGTCCGAAGTTCAAAGGAACAGACTAAGTATGTCTGCTGATTAGCTGACAGCTACACAACTTAAAGGGTAATTCTGGCAACTGTCATTCAACTCACCACAGTCTTTCGAATGACAAAAGTATTTCGTAATTGTCAATTTTGACAACTATCTTGGAAGTTCTTTTATGTCTTTCGGGCGACAAATCATAAAATCTGTTAACGAGGAGGAGCACTTAGCGTTTTTCGGTTTTGTCTTTTAGCAATATTTTTTCTAAAAATTAAGTTTAATAAAAAATATATTTTGCTTTTTACAACAGTAAATACTTAAATTCAAAAATATAATTACAACAAAAGAAGTTTAAGTATAATCCAAGTTTTTAAAAATTAAATAATTATTAAGAAATATGTTTCCTTTTAAGACTACACATATTAAATGAAAATTAAAAAAGAAATTAATTAATTAATTTAAATAAAAAGGTTCATAAAAATAAAAAAAATTTTGTAAAATATATTTTTCTTTTTAAAATATTATAATCTAAAAACTAAAAGAAGTTTAATTAAAAAAAATAATAAGTTCCTACAAATTATATGAAAGTAGGCTTTTTAGGTTTTAATGTTTTAAAACGAAAAATATTTTTTTTTTATCAAATTCAAAAAACGAAAGAAAAGTTTACAAAAAATTAAATGAGGTTTAATAAAACATATATTTCTTTTTAAAACAACCAAAAAAAAATTTATTAAAAAAAAGAAAACATAAACATATGTACAAATTTCTAATAGTAAAATTAGATATTAAACGCCATAATGGAGGCGGTTCGGTGGCTCATAACCTCCGCCCCTCCAGGACGGCCTATTGCTATCTATTCTGACAGCCAGCCTGTTATAAAATCTCTCAATTCTAACGCAACAACGTCCAAAGTAGCCATAGAATGCACGAAGATTCTCAACCTGCGGGCATCAAAATGCTCCTTGACTGTTGTGTGGGTCCCAGGACATTGGGACAGTCCTGCCAACTGCCTAGCCGATGAGCTGGCAAGGAGGGGAACGGAAATATCTCAAGTCAATTCTACTCAGAATGCGGGCATACCTCTAAACTCCTGCAAGCACACACTAAAGGCGGAACTCGTCGAGGAGGTCTATATGAGGTTGACTGTGGAAACCACCTGCCATACTACCAGGCAAATTTGGCCAAAAATTGATGTAAAGCGAGATCCATAGGTCTTACCCGGCTGGACCGCTCCTCTCTCAGATTAGTAGTCGGAATAATCAGCGGACACTGCCTGATGGGCGCACACAGGGAAAAAGGCTGGATACCCCACCAACGATTTATGTCACAGTTGTAGGGACGAGGAAGAGGTGGAGACTGTTGAACACTATATCTGCCAATGTAACGTCTTGGCCAACACGCGAACCGATTCTTCAACAAGTTCTTTCTATTCTTTCTAATTGTTTAGCCGATTTGAACTCGGCGAACGTCCTCGATTTTTTGTGCTATATAAAACGCACTCGGTGGTTCAATTACTAAGGAAGGGAAAGAAACAAATGGCCAGTGGTATCACAACCGGCTTTTTTATTTTTAGTTTTAAAAACATTAAATTTAAACATCGCTAACAAAATTATATAAAAATGCTTTCTGTCAAAAGAGCTTTCCACTATGAAGGGAGGAAATTGGGGTGTACAAAAATGTATAACCAATATAAACAAGACGTGTTTCAGCAAGTTCAGAGGCGGTTTCTAACTACATCAAATACCTAGCCCTTCAGACCTTACGCATGTCTGAGGCATTACTCGATTGAATACTCTTTTCATAAATTTTTCCTCAACTGTGGTAAGTTGATAGACTGTTGACAGAATTGCTGTGAAAGTTTGATTCCCGTTATTTTTCTATAGGAGTTTGGTGTTAAGAAGTTAGAGGTCTTAGGCGGTAAGATGTGGAGCTCTATTTTGGCGCTCCATTCTTTCATTGGTTGTAGGCCAATTTGAAATGTTTCGCAGTGAGTGCTATTAAACTTTCCTTCTAGCTATTATGACCGCCTTCCGCATAGCCGTCGCAGCAGTTTCCTTTATCCGTGAGTAGCTGGATAGGATCGTCTACTAATAAGCTCCATAGAGGAAAAGCGTTTTCCCCTATTTGGGTTCCAATGATACTAGTTCGAAATAGAATCGCGATACATTTCTCTTATCTTGTGCTTGGCAAATGGTTGTACAGGACGTATTGTCGAACACTCTTTCTGTGTCGTGAGAAGGACAAGTCATTTTCATTGAAGTCAAGTGGTGTAGAGCAGTACCGTGTACCTTCCTGGTTTACATTCCTGCTATATAGCTTGGATGCAAAAACACCTAAGATCGCCTAAAATTTGCTGTAGTAAGTAATACATATCTACTTATAGCCAGGCCGTAGCCCCACACTGTGCACACTTCTTTCCCAATTAGGAATGGTGAATACTTCATATTTAGTTTGGGTACTATTCATTTCCCTTCTATTAAGAACTTCTTTGACGAATGAGTCCTTTCCGAATAATGACCGCATAGTTGGAAATGGTTTGGAAAGGCTGTATCTTGTTGTGATGAAGAAAATCAGTTGGATAGCTGGATATAGTCCAAAAGGCCAAAGGCAACTCCCGATTTAATTGACATACATACTTTGTTTATTCTTATTTTTTTAACTCATCGACGTATGTTCTTCATTTTTTTTTTAGCTCGAGCCCAATGCGATTGGACCTGTGACAATGACGAATGCATCGATAGCGAATTTGTTTGTGATGGCATGCGGAATTGTCGCGATGGTTCGGATGAAAGTATAGAAAACTGTTTCGTCAATGCGACGTGTCCTTCTTATGCATTTCGTTGTGCTTATGGCGCCTGTATACAGGGTTCTAAGCGTTGTAACAAGCAACGCGACTGTGCGGATAACTCTGATGAATTACCCTTTATGTGCGAGATGACGAGAGATGAAGTGGAAGAAGTTTTACGCGGTAGATGTGGGTAAGTCGAACAAAGCCAACAAACTGCTTAATGCATACATTTAAGAATGCATTTCTATACCAAAGAGATTCGGAAATGCAATGCGGTACCGGTGAGTGTATAGATAGTGAAAAAGCTTGCGATGGCGTACGCGATTGCACACTTGGTGATGACGAGACATTGGAGAAGTGTGCACCCTTCGGATGTCCATCGTACGCACACAAATGCGCCTATGGTGGATGCATTGCAGGCAAAGCCGCCTGTAATGGAACCGTAGAGTGTCTGGACGGCTCTGATGAATCGTATGCGCTGTGCGGTGGAAAGCGAAAAAATTCGAGTATCACTGGAGCGGGCATGGTTTATTTCCCAACAGATAGAACTATGGCTGCTACAACAACAAAGGCGCCAACAAAACCACCAGCCACATACGCCGAAACCGAGTTAACTTTGCCGGTTAATGATAGATGTAAAATACCGGAAAGTCTTGCGAATGTAATTATCAGAGACGAATTGCGTGGCACAACTGTGAGAGTCGGCGCAAAGGTGCCGACAAATACAATTGTCAGTTTCGCTTGTCAGCCGGGTTTCTACTTAGTGGATGGTGTTAAGCAAATGTATTGCCAAAACCGAGGCTGGCAGAGCAATCTGCCGAGTTGTACTAGTAAGTAATTTTGCATGGAAGAGCATAACAGAAAGGTATCCAGTACTAAGTGACTTTTTTTCACTTCTTTATCTTTTGTAGAATTCTGCAATGCAACCGTGCTGCAAGAAGGCGTTTCAACAAAAGCTATTTGCTACACTGACGACGGGCTTGTGCCATGTAAAAATATTCAACCGGGCACACGTGCCGATATCCGATGTGAGACGGAGTATCGAGTCAGGGAGTAAGCAAACAAATCAAAAAAAATATGAATTAAATTAAATAATTTACTAATTACGAAAATTCTACGTTTCCATTTATGCAGAACATGGCGAGATACAACCATGCAGTGCACCAACGAGTATAAGTGGAACAAACCCAAATACTCATGTCAAATGCGTTGCGGCTATGTACAATTGCCGTCGATAGCATTCGCCAGTCAAGGACGCATGGTTAATGTAACGGAAGCACCCTGGCATGTGGGTATCTACAGCAAATTTAATGAAAAGGATTTTAAACGCACTTGCGGCGGATCCATAGTTTCGGCGCGCATTGTTGTTTCAGGTAAAGCCAATGCACTCGCTTACTTTTGATTCGCTTATTTCACAAAAACCTACAGACACATCTCCATACCTCTAAATGTGACAATATAGGGGCACTTAGTAACATTGTTCGCGGATATTTCCAAGAATTTCATCCATATCTTAAAATAGTAATTCTATTTAGAGAAGGTAAACTGAGAAAAGAATTCAGCGCTCTTATGGCATTGCAAGGAAGAATCATTTTGATACTTGTCAGTACTTGAAAATGCTACATACATCCTCAATAGTTAGTCCATTTTCTTCTTATTATTATTATTTGCCTCTACCACCGTTCGCCGGTTGAGGGCGAGACCAAAAAACTCCGCCAATTGCAACTGTCAGACAGATCCTTTTTCCCATAGACTTTTCGTGAGCGCGCTTTCTTTCGTTGTCCATCTATAGGAGCCCACGCGATCAGAGTCACAGATCCAGCGTAGAATAGTTCTCTCGAAAGCACCTAACGCCTTCTCATCGACATCGCCTATGACGGGCATATTTTTACGAGCGTAATTTTTGTGCGTCGAGAAGAGGTTCTGCTTTGCAATTGCCTACCGAGCCCAAAGTAGCACCTAAAGCAAAGTAGCAATAATTGTAAGTACGCGCAAATATCAAAAAAAAAAAATCGCAAAATTGGCGCGAAATCGCCAAATCTGGACACTCTGCTATTTATTGACTAAAGCCATCAAACTTGGGTTGCCCGAGCTCGTTACCAAGAATGATAGAATACAAGATTGCGCATTCCTGCGGGTGATGACGTCAACATAGCAACGAATAGAAAAGAGTAGTTGGAGATGGAGGAGAGAAAGAGTGTTAACCGTCAAACCATGGGGGTCGCCATATTTACATACATATAAACATCTCTGCATACATACAAACAGTTTGCTAAATGACGTCACATGAACAACTGATTCTGTCAAATTCGCCAAGAACAAAGTAGCGGTACTGCTGAGTGCGCCACCTCTGTCTCCCTACATCGTGCTCGTTACAGTAATTCCATCATTGAAAAAAGATCATAGGCATATACATATATGTAAATATTTAGATAGGGCTTTCTTCACATTTTGTACCTCAAATTTCCACGGAGCTTAAAAAATGGCTCTTGGTCTCCACCCAGTGGTCATTCTGGTAGTCTCCACTAGCTGTAAACTCTGCAAATACAAATCAGCAATATTTATACTTTCCGTCTTGCTCTCTGTATCGCGCAGCTGCACATTGCTTCTGGGACGAAGCCAACTTGGAAGTATATCCAACGAGACTATACAAAGTTTCTCCTGCACAACTGATATCCGTTTATATCATCAATGAAGGCTCTGATGTTACTGAGATATATGTGCCATCAAAGTAAGACTTTATTAAATATTTCAATTAATGGCTAGCAAATTTACATACTAAACTTTTGCTTAATATTTTCAGTTATAAAGACCGCGTTGGCTATTATGAGGATGATCTGGCTATCGTTAGACTGGTGCAGCAATTCAAATTTAGCGATACAATTAAGCCAATATGTTTTGAATACAAAAGGCTGGCCGCTGCAAGCATAGAAACTGGAGAATTGGGTTTCATTGTCGGTTGGGGG